GGCTGCGGTCCACTTAGCGCTTCAAACGTTACAGAGCATTTGTAGCACTGATATGACTGGTCCATTTGATGCTTCAAGACGCTCCCAGCAACTCTGATTACGTCATCAATACGTCATCGTTTTTGCTCCCACTTCGCTTCAACTGCCTCACCTCGGGAGGTGGGTTGGCTGGAGCGTTCACGTAGCAATTGTAGCATTCGAAATAATAATGGACCAATCGGAGCGTAGCGTTTGGAGCATAACGTTTAGGGTATTTGGAAGAAGCAAGTGGACCGCAGCCTGCGTCATCAATACGTCATCGTTTTTGATCCCACTTCGCTTCAACTGCCTCACCTCGGATGCGGTCCACTTGGCGCTACAAATGCTTCAAACGTTTTCACTTTTATATGCTTCTATAGAACGGTCCATCCACTACTAATGCTGCCAACAGTATGCAAATGGGCCAATTTTTGAAGCGTTTTGAAGCGTTAGTACGTATTTTGCAATTATGGATAAAATGAAAGTCATGCTAACGTGCGCTGTGAAGTTTTTTCAGAATAGCTTACTTATATTTATGATGAAGATAATAGCATCCTCTTCGGAAACTTCTAGATTATGAATCATTCCAGTATCTCCTTCATGTAACCTTATAATCGGCATAGTTTATACAATTTTTATTTTTAATAATGTAATATACACAATATACCATACAGCATGATTTGTAGTAATATATGTAGCACGATGCCACGATATATAATAATATGTAAATTAAAAAATCAGCTTTACAGATATACTTTCGTTCGTTTATTATTATGCTTTCCCGCGCTTTGTATATTCAAACTAAACGCTTCAGTTAAACTACCTCTCCGAGCAGTAGCATTGGAAGTAATTGGAAATAAGGTGGAAATGAAAACCTGTGATGTATTAATGACGTCATACGTACTATTGGGACACATTTGAAGCGCCATGTGGACCGGTTAAAACAACGCTCCAAACGATTCGAAGCATTTGTAGCGCCAAGTGGACCACATTCCTCGGGAGGTGGGTTGGCTGGAGCGTTCACGAAGCAATTGTAACATTCGAAATAGTAATGGACCAATCGGAGTGTAGCGTTTGGAGCATAACGTTTAGAGCATTTGGAAGAAGCAAGTGGATCGCAGCCACTATTGGATGATCTAGAAGAATACACCAATAGCAGCGGGTGCTCACGGATCTGCTCCACAACAGTTGAGTCTGCTGAACGCGACGAGATATTATTAAAGATCGTCAACCCTGGGCAAATTTTCGGCGGTATAAAAAGGGCCTTAAGGGCCCGGAGGTAATTCAAGAACGCTGACATTACCGACAATTGATATAAATTTGCTATTATTAACATAAATATTTGACTCATGCATTATTAACTTCATGATTTTTTATTACATAAATGTCCCATAAATAAATGTACATACTTGTAAAGCTGTAATATCCTATGTATTGCAAAAAAATCACAATTTTTTTCTCTGCAATTATCATCTTTATTGATAATCAAACTTTGATGATAACACTGAAATCTCAATTTTAAAGAAAAATCGAGTATTATTGAGTTATGAATGCATAAATACATCTACTAAACTAATAAATCATAAAATTAATACAATATTATCAGTTTCCCAGGTAGCAAGCTACGTCATTTTGACGTCAAATGACGTCATTTTGACGTCAGCTTGCTACCAGGGTTTTAACTCTTAATTACTTCAATATTCACAAGGACGCGAATTCCCGTAAGGATGTCGGTCTTTAATAGTATCTCGTCGGTGACGCGACCAATGATGCGTTCGGGAAGACGCTATTATTAGCTCTACTTTTGTCATTCTCGTCATTGTTTATTTATGGCACTGTAAATGTGAGTATTCGCCATAGAGATATTAGGACTAGAGTACGCATTGTCAGAAATTTGAGGAGTGGAGGTAATCCTATCTTGAAAAGGACGCACTCATTTGAGTCCTTCCTTCCTCTCTCGTTTCGCGCATGCGTATACTCTGAGAGAGAGAGTTAATAATCAAAGATAATTAATATTTAAAAATCTTATATTTAACAAATAATACAGGGTGGCACCCAGTTGGACACGGCTCAATTGGACACGAGCCACTCACAGCGCTTGAGACTACAAAGCTCCTAAGCACCGGTCGCTGTGATTGGTGGTGTCCAATCGAGCCGTGGTCAATCGGGATCACTCCAAGAATACATACCTTTTTAAGTCTAAAATATAATGGAACCACGTGCGTTATGGTTTCTCAACTATATGAAACTTTCAGTTCCTTGTTTTTTCTTTCGATCCCCTCTCTCGAGAGTATACGGCTATACACATGCGCGAAACAAGAGAGAAAAGAAGGACTCAAAGGAGTGCGTCCTTTTGTAGGCCGGTATTCATAGTCGTATCTTATATTTAAGACCGTCTTAAGTACAGTCTTAAGATGTCATGAACCAATCAGAAGGCCGCATTAGCGACTTAAGACATTACTTAAGACGGTCTTAAAATAAGAACCGACTATGAATACCGGTCGTAGATAGGATTACCTCAAAGACATAGAGAATGGACTGTGCGATCCATATCTAAGGTCGGTATTCATAGTCAGATCTTATATTCAAGACCGTCTTAAGTACAGTCTTAAGAAGTCACGAACCAATCAGAGGGCTGCATTAGCGTCTTAAGACATTACTTAAGACGATCTTGAAATAAGAACCGACTATGAATACCGGCCTAAGTAGTGTATCAAATGTGGTCTACAATAATGAGATAGAGGGACCATGGGAGACGCCAATCTCCCTCTCATTCTCTCTACCATTACACCATTGAATGGAAAGAGATAGAATGGCCGTCTGCCACGGTCCCTCTCTCTCATCCCTATCGATCATTTTCACACACGGATCGCGCAGTCCATTCTCTATAGGCCTGTTCTTTTTGGCTGAACTTTTGCACCAGTTCATCTTTTTTCCTCTTCTTTCCTCCTAAAGAGAAAAGGAAGAAAGATGAACTGGTGCAAAAGTTCAGTCAAAAAGAGCAGGCCTATTGTCTTTGGATTACTCCCACTCTTCCAATGCGTACTCTAGTACTATTAAAACCGGTATTCATAGTAGAGTTTTATTTCAAGACCGTCTTAAGTAATGTCTTAAGACTCTAATGCAGCCTTCTGATTGGTTCGTGACTTCTTAAGACCATACTTAAGACGGTCTTGAATATAAGATCTGACTATGAATACCGGCCTAAGGCACTATAAATGTGAGTATTCGCATCCGCCATTTTTACTCCTTTTCTCACTCTCTTGCTCCTTTTCTCAATCCTTGCTCTCTCTCCATTCTGCCACTAAACTAAAAAGCTAGAAGAGAGAAGTGAGAAAGTTGAAGAGAGAACAAACAGTGGGGAAAGGAGTAAAAATGATGGACGCGAATACCTACGTTTCTAGTGCTCTAGTACTACTATCTGTATGGTATTCGCATATCCGCCATTTTTACTCCTTTCCCCTATCCTTGCTCTGTTCCCATTGTGCTGAGAAGATTAATATTGTCGTTACGGTTGTTATAGGTTGCAGCTTCTAAGCTGTTGGAAACTATTTAATTCCTTGTAGAAATGAAATGAGCTACAAAATTTCAAGCAGCAAATACAAATCATAACCTGTAATGATCATAACTCGTCACAGGAAAGGACTAAAAATGGTGGATGCGAATACCTACGTTTCTAGTGCTCTAATGAAATCCCCAAATATTTTTGCACTTAAAATGAGATAGATATATATTTGGCTTTGAAAAAAGAGAAAGCGAAGATGCCGAGTGCAAGAAGTGCGAGCTACGCGAACAGACCTTATGTTTTATGGTACGTATCCACTGAGCGCATCATGACGTTACGCGTTGTGTCGTAACGCGGTGGACGACGCGACGCGCGACGCGCTCAGTGGATACGTACCCTGAGACAATTTCAAATATAAGAATCGACTATTGGTACGTTTCCACTGAGCGCGTCACGCGTCGCGTCATGAAAGAGAGAAAGAGATAAGATTATATAAATACACAATCCCTCTCTTTCTCTCCTTCGATGACGCGCGCGTGACGCGCTCAGTGGAACTCAGCCTTAGGAATATCGGCCTAAAGGCCGCAGCACACACTCTTGCATAACGCATAACCCCGGATCTACAATAGATTTTTTTTAAGCTTTAAGCCATAAGAAATGGGCGAATCACAGTCGCTTATTCTCCTCGGATTCGACCGTAATTCGTTAATTTCTTACGGCTTAAGGCTTAAATCACCTATTGTAGATCCGGACTCAAGTGGACAGCAGCCATTATGAAATACTAACTGCATTCAGCAGAAAAAACAGTTTTGCAACTTTCTCTGCTGAACGCAGCCAATATAATATGAAGTGTCATACTAGTTCAGTCACAGAAAACAGATCTCAGACCTGCGTTCGGGGAGCTCGCTATCAACGCTATTGTGTCATACTATCCTTGTTTCACGTTTAATAGACGATGAAGATAGAATGATACAAATAGCGCTAATAGCATCTCCCCGAATCCAGCCTATAATTTACGTTACACATATTATAGA